TTATTCCCTTTTTCCATTATATGTCTTTCATCTATTTCTCTAGTTGATATGTATCAGTTTACGGGCTGTAAGTTGATTTTCAGTCTCGATCTGCAATTTTGGCTGATCGGCGTAGCTCTACGTTTGTTGATGTCGTATTTGTGGATGGCGATACTGTGTTGGCGGTAACGGAAGACGGTGTTCTTGTTGAATTTAGGAACAAGAAGGTAAACTTTTTATGCAGTTCCAGTATGTGAGATATCTATTTTGACGCTTGCTTACGTTGCAAAATTTCAGTACGTCAAAATCTATCGGTTCGAAGAAAATTGTTTACCGCTGTGCATTTGCGTCACTAGTGATGCAGTTGTGGTAAGTTTTTCTGATAATTTTTCTGTAATTCTCTTGATTTTTTCTCATCTTTGTGATGTAGCAAAAAAGTAGGCTAAAATTTGGTTAGAATAGACATTTTCCTTGTGTGGGGACCAGTTCTCGTTTTTGTGACATGCATGGGGACCAGTTCTCGTTTCGTTCTAGCTTGGCTGTACGAACGGTACTATACGACTATACGACAAACAAAATTTGAATATGCTCTGTTCGCTACCTCATCCAGCCTTTATTGGCATGGATCCAGCTGTTGCTAGCAGTGTCGAATTATTGGAAGTTCATCCTCAAGGTGTAACGTAAGTCTACATGCATCTCTTATCCTTCCCCTCAGGACCTTCAATATGAACTTCTTTTTCAGTTACCCTGATGTCCGTGCCTTATGCTGCACATCCACAGCCCCAGAGATATTCATCTCAGCCTATGCCGATCGGTCCATGTTTGTCTTTCGACGAGGTGCAAGTCCTGATCAGTGGACGAAGTTGTCGAGTTCGCTAGCCCATGTGGGAGCTGTGACGACAGTTCAGGTTGGAAACTAGGATTTGCAAGATTTTGAATCAAATTAGTCGAAAATCTGCTTTTCAGCGATATCCGTCGCGGTTCCCTTACCTACCCAGTGGATCGTTTATCACTGGAGGTGTGGATGGTACGGTCAGGATTTGGAGCATGGAAAAGAATGAAAACCAGGTAGGAGGCATGCACGAACACACCCTGGAGATTTGAGCTGAAATTACTTGAAGAATTAGGGCTA